TGACAGTCAGAACTATAAGCTACGCATGTGATTGGTTACCTTTGTGACGAAYATAGCTTGTGGCCAATTGCATTTCATGAAAAGAAAAACCGGAACAACAGATTTTTTTCTTTTATTTTTTTTACAGCTGATTATAAAGCTATGCTGATCTAAGAGGAACGACTAACGACAAGCTTCCTAGAAATGTAGTGGAGTAAAAAGTACAATATTTGTCTTTGAAATGTAGTGGAGTAAAAGTAAAAAGTTCCCAAATAAATAACTACTCAAGTAAAGTAAAGATACTCAAAAAATGCACTTAATTACAGTAATAAAGTAAAAGTACTTTGTTACTGTCCACCACTGGAGGTGGAGGTCATTGATACAGATGGTCTTCAGTAGATTAGCTTAAAAAACATGGAAGACATGCAGACATAAACATTTATCCGTCTGTTTTCTTTACCTGCTTCGCTGGGATGTGGTCCTGATCTCCAGTAGTCACTGTGTTTGAGGCAAGGGACACYCTGGACAGGCCTTTAAACCCTTCCTTTTTTACACTCAAACCATTCAGTTGSGGTCTATATAAATTGGAGCTGCAATGCTTTGGTCTGAATTCCTCCTTATTGTAACTCCACAAGCCCCTCTTTCATCCCTTTTCTGAGGTGTGTCTCAGATCAACTCATTTTGAGGCTGTCTCTTTAAATCCAAAGGAGATGCTTCACACCCCAGCCCCTTCCAGCTTCCAGACMKGTCTATTTTAGCTTGATAGATGGGTTTACAGCTATATTGTTGCATGGAAACCTTTCATTTAAGAAATATTTATTGAAAAAYAYGACCCAAACAGAATATAAAGATATCTACGCAGCACCGGGAGAGATTATTTTCAAGTTTTGTGCACTTCTGTGGTCTCCAAGTACACAACAAAATGCATTTAAYAGCAAWAAATAAATAAATWAAAAAAGAGAGAAATGGATTTTGCATGATATGTCCCCTTCAGGTCCATCACAGGGACACATGGAGACAAACAACAAAAAAATGCTCACACACTCACTCACACCTAAGGACAAATTATAGAGTTACCAATTAACTGAACATATGTGTTTTTGGTCAGAGGGAGGAAACCGGAGTACTCAGAGACAACCCACACATGCATGGGTGGAACTCCACCCAGAAAGATCCCAGTCCAGGAGACGAATCTGCAAACTTCTCTCTGAGAGGCGACGGCTCTAACAACTGCACCACCGAGCCACCATAAACATTTAAAGTTTGTGAAAAGGGCTGCATGAAACATCAGTTTATCATCACTGCAGTATCATTGGTGATATGAACATTGCAAACGATTGCAATAAACTGAAAACACAAACTGATTATATGTTTAATAATCAAAAGGACTTCCGCTGCCATGAAAGCTCATCACTGTTTTAGACGATGGAGTCAAAATTATAACAAATGAAAAGTAAAARTAGCGAGTCACACCTGATAATGTCAAGATTGTGTAGCCATATAGTTTCTGAATCCAAGCTGAGAAAGAGGATTAACTGTAACACACTTGTTTATCTTTATTCTTCCTGGTTCAGATCTCAGTACAAAGGTTTATAACTTGATTGAAACTGACCCTCTAACCGTACACCTTCACCTCTGGCAGCTGTGGGATTGTTCCAGGTGCCTCCCAGAAATCTTTGTGTTTGTGTGGCCCTCCTTCACTGTGCAGCCACTCYCACAATCTCCCACGGTACAACGGAATATTTTCTTAGTCCACATGCCTTGTTGAGCAAAACAAAACAAGCTGAAGAATATTTGATGTTTCCCTCCTTTGTCTCCAGCTTATTGTCTTTCCCATTTTGCTTTGGCCTCCTTTCATTCCTGACATTTCTCAGTAAATCTAAACACAGCATGGTTGAGTTTTGTGTGATCATGTCAGTACTCTTTCTTGATTTTAGTTTCCCAACTGAATAACAGAAGAAAAAGGCAGCCGAAGTGTACCTTTTTTAAAGTCAGAGGAAGTAAAATGTTAAGAATGTTTTGCACAAAAATAATCATTGAGGTTTAAAAATCAGTTGAGCTGTTATGTATATTGTGTTTTTACTGTCTGCCCCYAATTGAGTTATGGTTGTTGTTTTTTCTATTAGATACAGTACATTCCCCAGAACGCAATGATGCCTACAATCTGTCTGTAGTTTGCATAAAACATCTTTTTCACATAATGTTTGTGCATTCTGTCATTTTATTACATGTGACTCATCATATTGTCACATATTATATTAACTTTATTGCTTCTGTGTAAACAAAGCCTGGCGAGAATTGGATCATTTTCTATCATGTCTTCCTGTGTTGTATCTGTCGTTTTGTGTGCAAAAGTGGGKCTTTTTGTTTTCTTTTATGTCTTCACAATGGGACTTTCTTACTTAAATGCATTTATTCTAGATCGCGTCCGTTGTCCTTTTATTTGGATATGAAAACTGTAATCGGTGTGTCCTCAGACGTCCAGTAAAGAGGCGAGTGTTGTTTCAAGCTGCACCTGAGACATTGTAAAACAGTGCGATCTGAAAACTCATCAAGCAGCAGCTTTCTGCTTCCCACTGAATTAGGGACGAAAAGCTGTTAACATTCCCTAGCATCTCCCTATAACTGAGTCTGTAAAAAGGTTTTATTTTGTTGGTGTTAAAAAAATACCCAGGAGGATATTAAATGCTTGTGGTTYTCCTCCTTGCCTTACTTTTTGAAAATTTAATTACTAAAGACAAAAAGGCTCTGCAACTGTTTATTTATTTGTTACTTATTTGTCATGCTTCATGATTTCTGATAGATTTAATTCAATAATTTAGAAGAAAACTTTGAATAGCTCTCATCTTTTTGCTGTCACTTCATGAATAATCTTTAAGCATATTTCTTTGCTCCTTCCTAAACTCTATCCTCAGATTCGCCTCTGAATCCTGAGGAGTTAACTTGTGTGCTGACGAATGCCCCGGGTGCTCTCTGTGGCTTTGAGCAGCTCTTCGTTCAAAAGAAAAAAACACTGACTCCAATAACAGCCCACTGTGACTCCCGTCCAGTAGCCAAACTATTCTGACTCATTGCGCATGATGGATGACCTCAGTTCTCCTGAGACTCAGCTAAAACAAAAACCGGAAATGTGAGGATGTGGATAAAAGTTGGGTCGAAGCATCTTTAACACCAAGCACTTTTGGGAATCTGTGCTTTAGCTGCTCATCAAGACTACTGGGACCAGAAAACGTGCACACATGTAGTTTTTATCGTTCAGATGATACTAATAATTTGATGAAACCGCACCGCCTCATCTGCGTTTCTGTTTCGTCCCTGATGTCAGATTCTAGATCTGTTTGGCTCTTTGTGTCTTTCTGAGCAGCCTATAAACTGTACATTGTGTGTTTGTTTGTTTCAGGGGAGCCGGGGGCACTACCGGTACCACTGGCAGAGCCACAATGTCAAACAGAGCGGCGTGGATGACATGGTCCTGCTCAGCAAGATCAACGAGGACGCCATCGTGGACAACCTCAAGAAGAGATACATGGATGACTACATCTTTGTATCCTTCGCTCCCGTTTTCTSTTCGTACCCCAGTGAGGAATGGCTGAGTGTCTCGTCCCTGCTTGTTCCCAGAAAAGCTGAAGTCTCGCTCACAGTCAGATWGTAGCAGTGAGTAATAGGTCAGAGATGGAAGGTGACAAATTCCCGGTGGGGAAAGGGGATTCTTTGTTCGTACCCTCACCCACATATCTGATTTCCTTCTCTTTCACAAGAGGCAGGCATGCTTGTCTCACAGAGGTGGAAAGTGTAAAAGAAAAAGTTTGAGTTTAGTCACTTCTTTTGGGTTTTGGTTCTCCTTTCGAGTGACATCCCGAGAGTTAAYATTTTCATACAGTGCGCTGCACAAACGCTACATTTAGGCTTTTAAATGCAGCTGCGGCTACACACATAAGCTGTTCATGACGTGCAGCAAGCTGAATGACTGAATGCCCTCTTTGAATGCTCTCAAAGCAGCTCATTGCATGAATTTCATCCCCCTCTCCGGCTGTTTGCAGGATTAAGAAGTTTAGTAAATGCTGGCAGTTTTAAGTTTGTCACCACTGAGCCAGGCTATGGTTTTGAGTCGATTAAATAGCTGTAACTGGGAGGTCTGCCTGCCAAGGTTGTGGGTCAATGTGGGCCACCCACAATAGCTGCTTTATTTGCTGTTAGCAGCCTTCTTGTCCTCGGGGCATAAAAGTTCAGCATTACATGTCATTTATAAGCACCTATTTAAGTTTAAGAATGCCACTACTACACTGTATCACTTACATGGCATGTAAGAGGTTAAAGGTTAAATAAAATAGATTTCTAGAGTTATTGCTCTTATTAATGACATTATTTCTAATATTTTAATTAGCTGTTCCAGCCTACCTTCAGTAATTTTAGTGGTCTAATCTAAAAGGATGACCCCACCCATGGTATTATTATTTAAGTTTGTTCATTTCTTTAAAAAACAACATAAATTCAATATACTGTGTATTACACTAGTATTTGTAATGAAAATAAAATACAAAGCTTAACATAATACCATGTTCTTTGAAGTTCATAAAAACTGGCAAAACATTCTCATAAATCATTGTCTGCTGCCATGCTGGCAGTAACTAAGGAAGCATGTAGCTCCTACCAAGATGGCGACACAAATTCTCGGCTTGTTAGCACAGACCTGGATGTGGTTGGCCTTTTCTATTTCGGTGATGAAGTCAGTTCTCTTTTATACAGTTTCATCATGTTCTCCTTCAAGTCATTGGGCCTCATGCAAGAACCGTTCGTACGCACAGATTTGTTCTTAAGTTGTGCGTACGAGTGATTTAGGAGAATTTGTGGCATTCACCAATGTTTTCGTATTCTAAGATTTTTTTCAGATACGAACAAAATTCACGAGTGGTCCAGACCTGTCGTATATTTTACGAACAGTCATTCTGCTGTTATCCAGACGGGTTTTCCTCCCTAATAACTTTATATTTCGTTAGTTTGAAGATATTTTAAGTTGAAAATAAATCACACTCCATAATTATGTTGACAATAGGCTATTCTGCTTGAATTAGAGTTATAATTTTAAATGTAATAATTTAGACTAACAATATAAATTGTCCGTCCGTTTTCTGCCGCTTATCCGGGATCAGGTCCTGGTGCGGTGCGCAAYGGTGTGTCTTCTGAATAAATGAAAATGATTTAGCACAGTTGTTTATACTTTTAGCAGCTCTTTTTATTCCACAGCTGACCTGCTAAAAATGACAGATTTTCTTTTCTGGATCTCTGACAGACGGACTTCAATCTCTGAACTCGTAAAGTTTTTCTTTTTAGTTTTCGCTGTCATTTTCATGAATGGACACTTCGGACGGGAAACATAGCCTTATATGGTGTTTTTGGGGTGGTAATTATGCTAACCTCCTCTAGCGTGCACGAGCAGCTGGATATGAACAGGTGAAATTTACGCAGCTCATTTACACACTTTTCCTGAAGATAGAAGAGTTTGTTGAATCTGACGTGACATGTTCGTACGAACCCTTCATACGAACAAAAGTAAGAGAAATTTAGGATAAGAATACKAACATGTTCTTGCATGAGGCCCATTGTTTCTAAAATGATGTAATGTTTAAATATGTTTGTATGATCTTTAACACACTTTTACCAGACATACATCGGTCCTGTGCTTATTTCCGTCAACCCCTTCAAGCAGATGCCATACTTTGGAGAGAAAGAAATAGAGATGTATCAAGGAGCGGTAAGTACATAATTAGAACATACAGACTTATTATCAATGTTGGATTTAAGGTGGTAAAAGTCTGATGTGGCGTAAACCTTTCAGCTGGTTGGCGCAGATGTTTCTGTCAGAAACTCGATTCAAGCATTAAGTGTGCTTGGCAGCACCTCACAGAACGGCCACTTCATGTCTCTGATAAATGCAGCGCCGACTCCTGAAGCCAGAAAGACTGAATTCCCTTAAAAACAGACTGTGAGCRCATTCAGTGTCACTCATGCAAAAGTCATCAGTTGACTTTTGCAGAGATTGTACACGTGTGAAACGTTTTGTTTCAGCAAGACTACAGCATTCTGTACRTGTCACGTCATCACGGCTCAGCAGGAAGAATTCAGAGACTAAACTGGTCTGCATGTGGCTCAAACCTGTCACCTTCTGAAATCTACTGAAACACTGAAACCTATCTGACTGGTCTCTTCAGTTCTCAAACAGTGTTTTTTTGAAAAAAGAGGCAACACAATACTGTGGTTAACATGCCTCCATCACAAGTTTAGTTTAGTTTATAACGGGTATCAAACAAAAAATCCGCAGTTACTTGAAACTTTACTAAACTTTGATCATTGATGTTTTTGTATGAACTGCAATGAAAATAGGGTTTAAATACTTTGTAACATGTGTATAGTTTTGCAATATATCTAAACTTGTTGTTATCTGGTCATGAATATTTATTTGTCATTGCTTTTAAATTTTAAGCAGTTAAATGAACTTCAATTCACATTTAAAACAATATTTCAAGACTTTCACTTTTCTACTTCATGTTTTTTATCCTGATTTTTGATTTTAATAAAACTCTTTCCCTGACATCTAGGCTCAGTACGAGAACCCTCCTCACATCTACGCTCTGGCAGATAACATGTACAGAAATATGATGATAGATCGGGAGAACCAATGTGTCATCATCAGGTAAGACTTTCACATTTCACTCATTTCATTCTTCACCACCTTTTTTGTTTTATGGGCTAATGAGATGCAACGACCAAATTATGCAACACTTAAGAGCAGCATTTCTCTTCRTACCTTTTATTTATCTTTTGTCAAATACCCAGAATGGGGAGTACGCTAGACAGTCAGGGATGATTTTCTGTGCAATCTGATCTGCCAGTTGGCAGAACTGACAGGCTGTTTAGTTAATGCCAATGAACGAACACGCAACAGGAGAACAGATCGAACAGGTTCCACCACAGCTTTTGCTACATCTGATCGAGAAAGATATGCCTCTTTTGTGTTTTCCCTCTGCGCTGCTTCCAGTGTTAGTTGAATCTAAAATGAGGACTAAAATGTAATATCCAAACGAGGAAAAGAATAAAAGAACCGTTGGATCTGGACCGAATTACCTCAGGAATTATGATGGAAACAAAGCAGCTGTTGTGGTGTATTTTTAAAGAACTTCCTGGTTTAAGTAGAAAAACACCTGCAGCTTCTTGGCTCAGATTTACTGGCCTCCTAGGTCTAGGAACGTTTTCTGTACTTTTGAAGGCTTTTGCTGAGTTTGCTGGTGAAACGTTTAAACCTTAAAACCCTCTTGACCGAGGCTTTATCCTGAGTTATCTAAACAACACGGTTTCCATATCTCTTACCTCACGACGCGTGACCCTGCTTCAGCACTCACGTTTGTTTGGACAGCCAGCAGTTGCTTCATAAAGGCGCTGAGGTGGATTTTATGAGCAACTAAATCAGCAAACAGGAGCTTAAAAGTGGTTTCATGATGAACTAAGTCTCAGTGAACATAACTGCAGTAAACTGCTGGCTGTGCTTTGTGGTTAGCATCAGTCTGCGTTGGCTCTTTCTAACATTTACTGAAAAAAAGGAGTTTGCTGATGATGAGGGAATGTCCGCGTAAAGTGGTCAGGCAGTTAAAAATACTTGATTCCTGTTGTTTAATTAGATGGCACTTTGTTATTTTCTCCATATTATAACATGTGACCAATATGAACTAGAGCAGCTGAAGTTATTGTTGCACAACTTCCTCCAAGCTCAGATTAAACTAGATTTATGACTCCAGCTGAAACTTTTTATACATACAACATTCAATACAGACAAGACCTAAATGTATTAAAATGTTTATTATTTAATTTATTAGTAAAGTACTGGGATTTCTTTCCTAGCTGCCAGTTGTAGCAGTTTTTCATCATCATTCTAAAGTTTCTGTGGTCTGAAAATAAAATAAAAAAACCTTCACTGTAGAAAAGAAGCAGGATTCGTTTTGACAGAATTTAGTTGTTTAAAATTAAGGAATACATGTCTGAGTAAAACTAAAGAGATAATACAATAATATTTGCACTCAAAAGCCCAGCTGCAGTATTGTATGAAATACCACAAAGTGATATTTGAGTTAATCTTACCATAAAATTTCTTTGGTAAAAGTTAAAATCTCCTCCTTTTACCTGTGTAAAAGTCTTAAAGTATCAGATTTCTTTTACTTAAGTATCAAAAATAAATTTCTGACATAAAAAGTACTTTAAGTATTAAAAGTATTGAGTAAGAGTGAGAGGTTACATTTTACAAAATTACATTTATTGGGAGGTGATCCCCACCCTCAAAAAATTTAAATAAACATTTTCTCTAAAGGCTGAAATGACTATAATATCATATTCAAATATCAGAATGATGTATATTTATACTTCTCATCAACCATGATTAAATTCACTTTATCTAGGAGGCACAGTTTATCTGGATAGCTTTTTTTAACAATAACAAACCGAAATGAGAACAAGCCTAAATGAAATGGGACTAACGAGTTTTTACTTCTTGCCTTTTTTTAAAATGTAAGGAGTAAAAAGTAGGCTGAAAAATAATTAACCAAAATTTCTATTTAACTACAGTAACAAAGCATTTGTACTTACTTACTTTACAACTCTGCCCAGCTGTCAGCAGGGACGATCAACTGTTTTATTCTTGGTTACATGAGAATGAAGATCTTCACTTTGTTTAGAAACCTTTAGGTCAGATGGTGTGGACCGTTTCTGTCCACCTTCAGACGTTCAGTCGGTGGTTTTGACTCCAGCTGTGGCACTAATTTTTTTTGTTTCTTTTTGGCAGGCCACTCCTGTTTTCATTGTACATGTTGTGTGCATTAAGTCTTTTGTTTCATAGATGTGGCCTTCCTCCGCTTCTTCCTTTCTAAGGAAGTGAGGGCAGCAAATGAAGTATTTGGCGTTGAATAGACAATGCATTGTGTTATTTTCAAAAACAGAGTATTGTAGTCAGTGTCAGATGCCCCAGAAGCCAGAATCAGGAAGCTCGAACCTTTATGATGCCTAATGTGTGAAACAAAAATACATGGAAGTGAGGTTAGCCTCTGGAATGAGCTCTGCTGCCACCAMAACCGCCTTTACGCGTTATCATTTGTCTTACTGCACATGACTAGATCTGCATATTCGAAATACCAGCCGTTATCGTTACTATTTTAGCAGGCAGCGAAGCATGCAGCCAAAGATCAGCAGACTATTGTAAAGAGAGAGAATGATATCTTCAAATCCTAATATTTTATTTCCTGGTGAAGCAAATGTGTCATCATTCTGACCTGGAAGGCAGAAGGCGCGATGCATTTCTTCTCAACATGCTACGTCTTTATTTATTTGAAAGTTTGAGTCGTAAGGTAAAGATTCTCATGAGATCTCAGGATTATCAATGCTGTTTAAAGACTGCTGCCTGTAAAATTAGAAATTCKGATGTCTGCACATTCCTTGCATGTTTTAAATGTGCAATCATTTGTGAAAGCTAATACCTAATATTTCCTTCTGCGTGGTATCGAGTAATTTATGTCCTTATTTGGTTAACGATGCTTCCAGTTTTCAGGTTTCACCTTTTCTGAGGCCAAAAGAGCAGGACTCCCACTGAAGCTTGGGCTTAAAATAGACACATCAAAGTGTAACTTTCAGAGGTAGTAACAATGCTTTCAGGCAGAGATCAGAGTGTATCTGAATGAAAAACACAGCAGAACATTTTTTTTTTTGTGTCTTGATTTCAAGCTGCACTGGGGGAAATCCAGATAAAGGTGAAGGATCTGGTAGGAGCAGGGAGGTATTTAGGGGGATGGGAGTAGTCGTACAGAGACTCCAATGTAATAATGCTGCTCCCATGACTTCCTCTGGCAGCCCCTTAACAGTCTGCAGCTGTGTTCCTTACAGTGGCTGCACCAACTTCGCTCTACTTTAAGGCTCAGGCGCACACACACACACACACACACACACACACACNCACACACACACACACACACACACACACACACACACACACACACACACACACACACAAACAGATTTCTCCGCCAGCCGCTGCCAAACCACATGTGGCAGCACGAGTATGACCATGGCACAGTGAAAGGCAAGGAGGAAAATGATCAAGTGAGGGAAAAGATGGATAAAATATGTAAACAAAACAGAACCGTTGTCCTTATGGCTCCATAATCAGCTGCTCTTTTTGAAACCGAGGTGAGTTTAGCTTCCAGGTGCACCAAATGAATAAAAAAAATGTTGAAGTGAAGTGATATACAGAACCATGAAGTCAATCAGTGACAGAGACATCAGTGTCCACATTAATTATTACAAAGCTATACTTAGCTCTTCTTATCGTCACATCTGCATGGAGAATTATTGACAAATATACTGGTTACACTTTGTATCATAGCTTCCGCAAGTAGAAGTTCAAATAAACTTTCACACACGGAGAGCAAAAATGATTTAAAAACAAGGAAGGAACTCTTGAACATTATGTCTGAGCAGACTGTCAGGTGTCATGGGCATTTAGATGAATTTAAGGGACAGCCTTGTAATTGGAAAGTGCCCCTACAGCCTAGTAAGTGAAAACATACAGTAAAAGTTCTGTATATAAAGTTTAAGTTATGCAACAAAAAGCACAAAGTGGCTGCCCGAGTCACATTTTAAAGTGTTTTCCGGCGCTTGGACTGTTTAACATTTAAATTTGTCTCCAAAAAATTAGTTTATCTAAAAGTTTGTTTGTTTGTTTTTCAGTGGAGAAAGTGGAGCAGGGAAGACTGTCGCAGCCAAATACATCATGGGATACATCTCCAAAGTGTCGGGAGGCGGCCCCCGAGTGCAGGTGTGAAAAAGTTGTCCTTGCGCCTTATATTCAAATGCTTTGTTGCATGAATGGAATGACTGAAAATCACAGTGAGACTTTAAAACACACATGGATGAAGCAGTCCATTGAACAGGATCTTTATTACAAGCAGCAAATATGTTCCCATTTATAACAAAACTACCACTTCCATCTTAGTAACGTGTCAAAATTGAAAAGTTTCTTGTCAAAAGTTGAACTTGAAATGATCATTTAAAGCTTTTATTTATTTTTGTTGGGACTATTCCAACATTTTATTCGTATTTAAACAAGAAGGAGCTGAACATCTTCAGGTTGACCAGAGGTCACCTGCAGAGCGTTAACTCACACAAACACACCTGTTTTAGCTTGTCTTCACTATGGCTCCCAGTTCATTTTATATTACATTTTAAAATTCTGGATTTAATCTTTAGCGCTTTGCATGAACAAGCTCCTTCTTATATCTCAGCTTTGATCCAGCTTCACACATTGTCTCGCAGGTTGAGGTCATCAGGTCAGAGGTTGTTGTTGGGAAACTGCACCCATTTTAAATGTTGTGGGGATCGATCCAAGCAGTTGCACCCTGACTTTAGAATACACTGCCCCAGTCTATATGCAGCCTTGATTCTATTGATGCTTTTAAAAAGCACATGAAGACATTTTTTACAAACAGGCTTTTAGCTAGTTGTTAGTTTTTTATGTGTATTCTGCCCTGCTTTTACTTGTACTTTTTAATGAGATATTTTTACATTTTTCGTGCTTTTATTGTGAAGCACTTTGTGATTTTTATATCTATGAAATAAAATCTACATAAATTTTTGGTAAACTAATGGATAATATGATAATTCATGTCTAAAGTTTTTGTAAAGTCTTTCTTGGATTTTCCCCTCTTTTTTTCTTAAAAATGTGACTTTCAGATACTGTTCATCTGTTGTTAATAGTTTTATTTCTTCTTTTAAACATGTGACACTTTTTCCCCTCTCCTCCATATGTCCACTGTCCTCATTTTTAATATTTAAAAATGTTAAATTGTCACGATCATTTAAAGAGATCAGAAGCAAGTCTGGAATCTAGAGAGCAAAAGATAATGTCTAAAAGGTGGTTTAAATATTTGTTTAGTTTAGCATATGTGGATAACAGAAGGATGTGAACCTTTAGAGTCAGCAGAACAATAATAGCAGTTAAATGTTTCCAGTAACTTCTGATCAGACCTGCACTTCAGCTTTGAGCTCTAGCACAGAAATAGCTTTTATTTTGAAAATCTGCTAAGTCAAACGTCACACCCCACATCCTTTCACTACCTTTGAATTAAACTATATGTAATAATTTTAACTTAAGCTTTTCATATTGTTGTTTGACCCTTTTATCCATTCACTCAATAAATAAAAAAACTGTAATAAAGTTTAATTTAGTTTGTAATAACAGTTAACCTCCTGTCATCACCCCGTCAGCAGACAGTTTTTCAGCCACCCCCCTTCAGCCATCTGGTAGCACCCCACCCCAAACCAGCAGATGTCCTCTAAGCTTAATAAAGACCTGAAGTTTTATGAGGAAGTCCATGCTCCATGTTTTTAAAGTTAAATATTTAATCAACTCAGAGCTGCTACCACCAAGACATCAGAAATTATTTTCAGGTTTAAAATCAACACTGAGCTGCTTCTTAGAAGCTGTATTCAACTTGTTAGATTTTTACAATATTTTGTCACATTCTTTGTTGTTGTTGTTTTTTTTTTTTTAGAAAACAAAAGAAACAACTGGAATTCACCAAAGTGCTTTATGGTTTAATTAAACAACAGAATAATAATAAAATATACTAGAAAATAGCCTACTTATTCTGTTCAGAATATTGAAAATATTGAAATTTAGGTGTTGGTTTCTACTTGTTTGTCACTTGTCTGAATATTTTAAATCCATCAATTTTTACAGAAGCATTACTAAAAGCTGAAAACAAAATGTTAATGTTTTGTCTCTTGTGAAGGAGTAAGGTCAGACAGAAGAAAAGTGTTCCAGTCAACTTTTAACAATAATGGAAGAGGGAACCTCTCTGTCTGCTGAAAAGATTAAAAACTCATGTGTCTCTGACATACACATGGCTCACAGGAAAGATAATGTCCTCCAGACTTGGTGTGTGTGTGTGTGTTGTCTGTATGTGTCTTTTTACACACATACACAGTGGAAACTTCCAAAGACGTAAGCAGCCTGTCGCTGAGGGTGTGAAATGTTGTGGTGTGTCTCTACCTGCTCTACAGTTTCTGTGTGCAATTCACTCTTTTTTTTTTTTATTTCTCCTTGCAGCACGTCAAAGACATCATCCTGCAGTCCAACCCGCTGCTGGAGGCCTTCGGAAACGCCAAGACTCTGAGGAACAACAACTCCAGCAGATTTGTACGGTTTCTTTTATGTTAAATGTTCCACTTTTTGTGACTCAAAATGATTCCGGTCATCACAAGCAAAATCACAAAAGTGTCTTTTCAAACCTTCCCTACATCCTTTTTGCATCCTCCTCGTGTTCTGAAACCAAAATGGAAAGAAGCCTTCAAAGTTGCAGTGCAGCTCCTCTATTGTGTTGCTAACAAAAGATTTCACGTCTCTCAGGCATGTGGCTGTCGGTGGATTTTTGTGGCACACCTTTCGGGTCTGAGGCTTTTGAAAACAAAGATTTCTCTTCTGCTTCTGTTTTCTCGCTCGAAGGCTTCAACCCTCACATGTGCCCTGGTTAACCAGAACTAAAAAGAACACATGTAGAACCGCTCATTTACCTCCTCTGCTACTTCGCTATGATGGAAATTAAACTTTTTAAAATAATTTGTCACCTGCTGGACTGGATCTATTTCATATTTCCATACAGAGCTGAGCTTATAAATATATTGAAGCGAATATGAAGGAAAAATAAATTGCTTTGGCACTGATGGGCTAAGATCACAGCTCTTTTTGAATAAATAGTGTCTCTGTTCAGTTTTGGGCCTCTGCTCGCAGCTCGTCTGAAACAGATACATTACAGGCCCGTCTGGAGTCCAGAGCGCCATAAAAACCAGGATCAGATTTTTAAATGCAGTAAATAATTTCACACACATTCACACACATATTAAAAACTCTGGAAGGGCCAGACGACAGGTTTTCACACCATATAGCTGTATATTTTCAGCTTTATTTTAACCCTGAAAAAAAAAACACAACTCCTTTGATCCAACAGGGAAAATACTTTGAGATCCAGTTCAGTTCCGGTGGGGAGCCAGATGGAGGGAAAATTTCCAATTTTCTCCTGGAGAAGTCTCGTGTCGTCATGAGGAATCCTGGAGAAAGGAGTTTCCATATATTCTATCAGGTGAGTTGAAAAGAAARGCCAAAGTTTTCCTCATCTGGTGTTCAGATGAGGAGGAAAAGAAAAAGTTTAGTTTTTCTGTAGTTTATTTAAAGAAAACTCAGGGTTCAAGAAAAATATTTTCAAGAGGATGAATATACAGCAACAGGCAAACATGTGAGTAAAATGTAATTAACTCAAAGCAAGTGGAGTTTAAATAAAGAAACATACATTTATAGATTAAAGCTTCAGCTTTATCTGTTCAGGCTGTATCCTGCTCTGTAACTTTCCTGGTTTGGGACATAATTTTTTTTCAGTGTGTCGTCCCCGTCCCCCACAATTTTTWTYTATTTATTTATTTATTTATTTATTTATTTATTTATTTATTTATTTATTTATTTATTTATTTATTTATTTATTTATTTATTTATTTATTTATTTATTTATTTATTTATTTATTTATTTGGGTAAGTGTGCAGCACTGTGTCCCTCTGGTAGTGTCCATGAAGAATTGTGGACATTTCCATCATTTAAGTTGCCCATCCCTGATCTATCATGGATCAGACTGAAGTTAAAAATGTTACTAAAAACCTGTATAACATTTAAGTCAGAGAAAATAAACCATTGCTTAAAATAATAAAAATAATGGTATTTGGGTTGTCAGTACATTTATTAAAGTCACATTTTAACATGTTATGTTATGCAAACRAAGGGTGAATTTCTGCTTCACAGTTGATAGAAGGAGCCAGTGGAGAACAGAAGAACAGCCTGGGAATCACAAGCTTGGATTACTACAGTTACCTCAATCAATCCGGTTCCTACAAAGTGGAGGACATCAACGACAAAAGTGACTTCCAGGAGACAGTGGTACGCTCTGACTCAGGCGGCAGCAGTGAATTCATACAAATATCCTTCAGCCTTTCCATTCTTGCCTCTTCGTCACCATCCTCTTTTGTTTTCATTTCCAATTAGCTCTTCCTGTTTTTGTTGATCAGTGTGACCGCAGCTGGAGTAATTAAAGGACAGGTTAGCCCACGCCGCAGCCCTGATTTAGCATGGTATTTTTTTCCTCCTCAGCATGCCATGAATGTGATTGGCATCACGGCGGAGGACAGCTCCATGGTGCTTCAGATTGTGGCTGGAGTCCTTCACCTGGGAAACATCACCTTCAAGGAATCGGGCAACTACGCTGCTGTGGAGAGTGAAGAGTGTAAGTTACCATCCTCTCACTCTGTAAGGCTGGATGGACAAGTCTTCCATTGTGGACAGCTTTTTATTYGTTTGTAAATAAAAAATCCTGAGCTGCGATATGTAAAGCCCTCTATCAAACTAGAATAGACAAATCTGGAAGCTGTAGGAGAGCAGCGTGTGAAGCGCCGCCTCGTTTGGATTTAAAAACACAGCCTCGAAACGAGTTGATCTGAGACACACCTCAGAAAAGCTGCTTGTGGAGTTACAATGAGGAATTCAGACCAAATCATTGCAGTTCCACTTCATATAGACCCCAACTGAATGATTTAAATTTGAAAAAGAAGGATTTAAAGCTGGATATGTCTCCTTTAAACGTAAAAGTGCTTCTTGTTTTATTAATGAATCAAATCTGCAGCTGCTGAGACATTTGGATGCAGAACTTTTATCCAGACTTCTGTGCTCATAATGTTGGTGGAGGTGAAGGTGCAGTCAACTTGAGACTGTCTCCCTGTCCTGAGCTGCCCTTCTCAGACTGGTTCTGGTGAATATTTCTCTCTTACCACTTTCACGCCCTAACYCTTCACTGTGTTAATGCTGAGCTGCAGTCAGCCATCTCAAGTATTCCAGCCCAGATTCGATTACYAGAGAATGAAAAGCTATTTTTGCAGGTCTGGATTTTTGTTACAGGGTGAAGACTTTTAGAAAAATACCTTTGCCTCCACCACCTTCTCTTGTTACTTTTCTTGTTGTAGAAATTAAGCTGTGCTCTGATGTCACTGCAGCTCTGACTTTCCCGTTTTCTCTCATTTCCCTTTTTCTGTGCTAAAATTGAAATGTGTTCCACATAATGGGGATGAATTATTACATTTGTGCCAGTTGTAAAGCCAGTTTTAGTGTGATCTTGTGCCTGTCACTCTCTATTATCTATATGTGAACAAAGTTATACTTGTGCCTGGTTCTGTTTGTGTATAGTATAGGATTGGTTTAATTTAAGTTGTCAGTTTTGAATTATTTACGTATATCAGATGTGCATAAAAGGATATAATTCTGTAGCATGGAATTATTAAAAGTTACAAATGAACTTCTAACCTACAATCATCAGGTCAGATTTCTGTCATCTTGAAATAAACATCATTACAAACATGGATAAAGGAAAGATACAAGGATTTTTTTCAAACATCACTGACCAGTTTTCTTCTGTAAAAACAGCATCAGATTTAAAATTTCCCTTTTGTTCAAATGATTTTATTAAAAGCTTAGCTAAAGAAAGTGTTGATTGTCATCCAACATCACTAATTGGGTTGAAGCAGCATAATTGGCAGACCTCTGTGCCGACAACACCCCATCTAATGCTCTTATTCTCCGTTGCTTTGACTAACAAATCTCCTACGGGAAGCTTTTTCTGAGGCTTGTGTTCCCAACAGTTACATGCACAAACATGTAAACAACATGCACCACGTTTACGACGTGCAATCCATACGTCTCCTGTCAAAGTTTCTTCATGATTGAAATGCGTAGTCAAGTCACCAATGTCCCAAAACAGGAGCTACTACAGTGGTGGGATGCATTCCCAGACGCAGTGAGTCTGCAAGCCTGAGAGTTATTTCCTTTTAGGGGAAGTGAGTCACTGTAATAAGGCAGGGAGGGGCTCTCCAGGGACAATATCAATGCCAGGTCATGGCAAGTAGTGTGTAGTGTGCACAGCTTATTTTTAAAAGTGTTAGCTTATTGCTATTACTCATGGATTATGATTTCATTGCAGAGGCTCATTTGTTTTGCTGTTCAGCCATGTTTTCCCCTTTGTTTTGTGTCATATGACTTTTACAAACATAGTGGTGCTGATGCTTTGTCTGATTAGTTAGTTAGAACAAATGAAAGACAAAAGATCTGGAAGAGATATGACTTTTCTGTGACTCACTACTATGCAAAATTTGTAGGAGGTAAAAATTGGAACGAGCATCGTCCGGACAATTTGCATTCTGGTTTTCATAGAAAATTTGTCTTTGCTTTTCTTTTTTAATTTTGAAATTTTTTTGAATTTTTTGAATGAATTTTTAATTAGTTTGAACCATTACTGTTAATCTAGCTGAATAGTTTTTAATAATATTTAGAAAAAAATTAATTTGAGAAACGAAATAAAGGGGACATTTTTAATAGATATATACGCTCCTTTGTAATTTTTTCCTCCTCTCTTCTAACAGTTTTAGCTTTTCCTGCATTTCTGCTCGGCATCGACCAGAACCGTTTGAAAGAGAAGCTGACGAGCAGAAAGATGGACAGTAAGTGGGGCAACGCTGTGGAGTCGATCGATGTAACCCTGAATGTGGAGCAGGCGTGCTACACTCGGGACGCCCTCTCCAAGGCTCTGCATGCTCGTGTGTTTGACTACCTGGTTGAGGTGAGGGAACTCCTGTACCGCCTTGGATTAATATCATCATCATCATCATCATCATCATCATCATTACTGTGACAGTGTGGAGTAATTTGCTGAGAGTAATCCTTTGATTTCAGTCGATCAACAAAGCCATGGTGAAGAATCGTCAGGAGTTAAATGTCGGCGTGTTAGACATTTATGGATTTGAAATTTTCCAAGTAAGTTTTTTTTTTTAGGCTGCCTCTCAAACCAGCTTATGACCACTGCAGCAGCACATGAGTCGGATTAACTGGTTTTAGCATTTAAACAGATTTAACACAGAGGATTAACTAATTTATAAGGTCTGTGGATTAAGTTTTATCTTCTGATTGAGACGGCAGCTTTTTGAAATCTGATTAGTTGGTTCTTGAAATTMTTTTTGTTTGTTTTCATTGATGAGAGGTCTTGAACTTTGAAGTGCTCTTGAACTGATTTTAGTTTGCAAATTKTTTTTCTTTAACTAACCCTAACACTACAGAAATTGCCTTTTCTAAAAGYTAAAATAATCAAAATGGTAGCTAAAAGCTAATAGAACCTAGATGCCAGAAGTTTCAAAAAGTAACAAAATGTTARCTTTAAGATTTGGAAACAAACTACATTTAAAACATCAAAATACTAGCTAAATGTTAAAAGTAGCAGAACTGGCTAAAAGCTAAAATTGGCACAAGAAGACAAACGTAAAGTAAGCAGATGAATGTTGAAGCAGATGTTTTAAATGTTTGAATGTTTTTGAATTGAACTGAAGAGAACTCAGTGTTTTAAAATGTTTAGAATTTTTCTAAATAAGGTTRAATATATTTGAAAAGTTAAAAAGTCATATCAACAATCTCCTGGATTAGCTGCAGGTTTTCATGTATGAATGGCTAAAACAACACAAAGTATGCAGAAGAAGTTAGTTTACAAAAAAATGTAGGGAAAACATGTAGAAAACAAGAAAGCAACTGTGGATTCTGAATCACACAATAATGCACAATTTTCTAAAAATGTRGCCTTGCCTTCATGTCAGACAGCCTCAAGAGAGCTCCCAAACTAAACAAAACCCAGTGAATATACAGATTATTCAGATTCTACTCCAGATAAAGCTCATTTCAGCTGAATGGAC